TTTAGTGCTATTTCGATGAAATTTTGTCTTGTGTGATGTGTTTGGCTTTGCTCCATTCATGTTTGTACACCAGATTCTTTCCTTTTTGGCTTTGCTTTGTGGAGGTTTAGTTTTGTAACTCTTACTTGTTCTGACGTTTCCAGGGAGAAATCTGCTGTTAGTCACAGTATAATATGGAGTAGACCACTCACTGCACAAAGAGTTGAAATCGATGGAGCTATAGCTTATGCTGTTTCTGGTTTGTTTCTATTGCTAGTTAAATAAATCGATAAAGCCTCTAATAGAGTACAGGATATGAGCAATTTTTCTTGTTGATTATATGGTTTGAATGATATGGTATTTGATTACGGCCGGTTTCTGTATATTCTGAAGGAACCCCTGCAGATTGCACTGGTTTGGGTTTATCGGGAGCTCTCTTCCCTTCTCTTCCTGACCTGGTAACCATATTGTCCTGCAAATTATTTACAGTGACCCTATGGAATGTCACTATAGAAACCCTCTGATTGTTTAAATGTTGTGCCAATAGAGCTTTAGAATTGTGTTTAACAACAGCTACGTCTGCTTTATCTGTATAAGACATTTAAGATCTGGTTGTTTATGTAGTCTTCCATTGTTTTTCTCTTTTATTGTCATTTTTTTGGAGATTGTGATTTATGTTTGTTTTCTTCATGTAGGTTCTTAGTGGTATTAACGTGGGTAGCAACTGCGGATATAACATGTATGTGAACATTTCCTCCTCTGTTTCCTGTTGTTCTGGTTTCCTACTTTCGTATCACCTCAAGCTTTGTTCCGATGATTACAGTGCACCTGTAATTTTTCTGTTTGGAAGTTGGATTCAAACACAACAAAACTAGCGAGATCATTGTGACTTCTTTGAGGATAAGTACAAGATCTTGAGAGTATGGTAGCAGAAATAATAATTAGAATGTTTCACTGGCATCAAAACTTCTACTCTAGCCACTTCAAATTGTTATGTTTTTATGGTCTTACCTGGCATGTTGATTCCGTTGCAGCGTCTATTCTGGAACTGTTGCTGGTGCTCGCGAAGCCTTCTTGTATGATGTACCTTCGATCTCCATATCATATAATTGGTAAGAGTATATCCGCAAAAAATTAATGTATTACTCGCAGAAATTATGCTTCATATTTTAGAATTTTCCGAACATGTATGCTATTTCTCCTATGTTTGTGTCATGATCCTAACATTTTCTTTAACCTTCATCCATAGTTATTAATACAATGTGTTTGTTTTGCCACTAATCCCTTGAAATTTACACATCCTTAATGCTCTAGGAAACGTGGAGAGATCAATGCCAATGATTTTATCCTTGCTGCGGAAGCTTGTTTGCCTATTATCAGTGGCATAATCAGTGCGATCAAGAACAAAACTCACCCTACAAATTGCTTTCTGAATATTGATTTGCCAACTGATATCGTTAACCATAAGGTAAGTCTCATGGCAGCTTTGAACGATATCCTCTTATGCCTACGCCTAATCCTCCGACTGAGTTTTATATTCTTCTTTCCAAACGAAGGGATACAAACTAACAACACAAGGTAAAAGCATGGGTAAAATGGGATGGAGACAAGTGGAAGAGGAAGCACAAGGACCGAAAATGTTGTCAACAATGCAAATGGAAACAGAGTCAGGAGTAGTGTCAGACAACGGCACATCTGCTCGTTCTCAAGATAGCCGTTTATTCAAGAGAGAGGTATCATTAATACTGATCATACTTCCTTTGTTTACTGCTACCTACTATTACGTAACTCCGCTGTTAACACATAAAATCGAGTCCCTTTGGTTCTTTTCGGTTTCTAGTTAAGGACTGTGGTGGTTGAAGAAGGGACTGATCTTCACTTCCTACGAGAAGGATTTGTAAGCATCTCTTAACCCATCTCCGAAAACTTATCCAAACTTTGATGGTATAGCCACTAAATAATAAACGCTATTTGAAACCGCAGATTACAGTGACGCCGCTTGGAGCTCTCTCTCATGTTGATGTGGATTGTCAAAACTACTACAAAGAATGGCTTCCAAAGGTTGCAAACCAGTCATATTCCTCATCCTTGTGATGCAATCATATTCCTATCTTAAGTCGAATGAAGAAAAGAAAAGAACTCTCTTTTTAGGATTTGCTCATTATGGACCATAAAATTTGTGGTAGACCTATTATTATTATCTCTATTAGTTGTTTAGTGATCCATAATCTGATTACTCAATTATGTTGTGAACACCTAATTCTCTAAACAACAAGTTTAGTTTTGTTGTAAGTGCATCATCATAATTAAATCTTGAGTATTGCACCTAACGGCATGAGAAAACAGCATCAAAATTTAAAGTACATTTAACAAAATGATGCGGAAAGCTTATACATATATTATTATAAATATATAATCTAACAAGAAGAAAAGAGATCAAATCAACTTATCATTTGTGTGTTTAAGAATTTAGTTAACGTAAACGAAATTCAAGCGCAAGGAGGCTGAGATTAATTGCGATAACATCATCATCATGTGTGCAAGTGGGAGATTACATACAGACAAGTCATCATCTTGCATAATCCTTGTTTTATACTTCAAGTTATGACTTCTCCTATTGTATTATTATTATACATCCAACTCGTATGCATAATAAGTTTGCTCCCTTAAAGGAGAAGGAAGAGTATAATAAGGGCTGGGTGGCGCGAAGTGGATATCCTGATTCGATTTAGTTTTGGCGGATATCTAATTTTCTGATTTATTTTGCTTCTGAAAATTTCGGATATCTGGAATTGCAGATATACGGATTTATATTCACGAATATCAGTTTTAAACAAAAGATAATAAATAAAACACCATATTCTTTTTAAAAAAATTGTTTTCATATAATGTTTAAACTAACTAAAGAATAAATATATAAAATTATCTTATTTTATTCGATATAGTT